AGGCCTCCTCCCTGACTCGAGACAGAGCAATGTCAAGAGTGGACTCAAACCATTTCCTGCCTGTGTTGAAGGTACCTCCCAGGGCAGAGGGCAGGCTGGGCTATAAGCCCAGTCAACATCCAAACTACTGTGCACATAGTAGGTGCTCAACTAATGCAGACACTTTGAAATGCTCCTGCCCCTCCCCCACCCAAAAAGTCACTTACCTGGAACACAAGTACAGCAGTCCGACTTCGGGGAGGCCTGACAGGGGCCAGGAGGACACTCGGGGGAGATGCAGGACACATTTCCAGCCTGCGGAGGGGAGAGATGGAGGTGGGTCAGGGAGGGGAGGGGAAGAGAGCCAGGCTCTCATGCCCTTCAGGCCCATCAAGAACCAGCTCATCTCCCACCCACTTCACACCACACCTCAGGTTTCCTGCCCAACGCAACAGCCTCAGAAAGAAAGACTTCTGAGACCTTTAAATGCCACCGTGGTCACAACAAGGACAGTTTGCAGGGACCCAGTTCCCGGCATTTATTATGGGGTGTTTTAGAATATCTCCTTTTCCAAGATGAGGGCCAGACCAGAGAGCTGAGTGTGCTGCCTTCCTGGTGAAAACGACGTGCCTTGCCTCCCACAGCCTAGGGCAGCTATGGAAGGGTGCTGAGGACGCAGGAGACAGAGGTTACGCCACCACGGGCACCTTCCTGTACATCTGAGCTTTAAACCAGATCTATTCAAATCTATTCAAAGAATCAGGTTTAAAACTAAATTTTAAAAATTTTAAAAATTTAGAAGTTAAGACAAAAAAAGACCCTGGCTTTCGAGCCAGCCAGACTTGAGTTCCAGTCTCTGCTCCTCCACTATTGAGCTGTGTGACTTTGGGCAAAGCACATCACCTCTCCGAGCCTTGGTCTCCCTGTCTGTCAGGGGATGCTGAGGACTGCATGAAATGAGATCTTCCACAAAAGCGCTGGGCCACTTGGCACATGTGTGGCACCCAGGAAGAGTTCAACAAAGGGTGGCGGGAGCTGTCTACACGTCCCATCTCCCATCTTACAGTGCAGCTGCCGCCATCACTGCCAGGCTAGGAGCTGTTTTTAAAGATGGTCACAGGTGGCAGTGAGGGTTCGTGGACAGAGCCCGGGCTATGGGCGCAGGCAGACCTCAGCTCAAACTCCAGCTCTGTTCCCTGCCAGCCTCAGTCTTTTCATCTGTAGAATAGGGATAGTACAACTGGCTTGGAAGAACTGCCAGGAGCTTCGGGTGAGGAAACAGGTGAAAAGCACAAAGGCCTATGCCTTGTGTAATTATGAGTATACACTGGGTACTCATAATCAAGTCCACGTGACCACATTTGGCAGTGCACATAGTAGGTGCTTAATAACTATTCATGGAGGCATGAATTTGCCTAATGCAAAATACTCTCAACAAGTTGAATCTGGTTATGAGCCTTCTCCCTCCCAAATGCGGATACCTTTATTGTGCTGGAAAATATTTTGCCTGGAGAGAAAAACAGCCTCCCTGGTAGGAAGTTTCCAAGGGACTTTCGTCCCCTCCCCTTCCTAGACAGATGGACCCTGTTTGCCTGTTGGCTCTTTTCTGCTCAGCAGAAGCCTCCCTGACTCCACAGACCTACAGGTTTCACATCTCCCCCAGGCTTTTAAATTCAACAGGTTCCAACCAAAATCCATGACCTGAGAACCCTCCCTCCACTCAATGAGTTCACCTCTAACATCGGTCTTTCCCCCTTCCTCTAAAACCCCCAAAGGTTAAGAAAACACCCACGAGGCTTTGGAGATCTTACGATGCTCACCAGGCAGACACAGACGGTGCAGTTCTCCGTGGGAGGTGAAAACACATCCCCTTCAGCTCGAATGACGCCACTGTGAAAACAGCCTTTGAAAGACAAACAGGAGTGTAGGAGGCATCAGACTTCTTCAAAGCAGGGGAAGCTTGTGGCCTCATTACTTTTCCAGGCATAATGTACCTGCAACCTTCTCTCACTGGCCAGGATGCACCAGGAGTGGCAGCTCCAGGTACCAGAACTGTGTGGTCCTAGGACCCCTGGAGAACTCTCAGGAGACACCCACACAGGAAGCCCCAGGAGGGTTCCATTCATGTCTGATAAACCCAGAACTGTGTTGAGAGCGTGTCATTTTATTCCCCTAAGGCAGGAAAGGCAGCCAGATGGCCCTGGGTTCAAAACCCTGGCCCACTTGTTCAGTTACCTGAGGGGCCTTGGACATGTCGCTCAACCTCTCTGAGACTCAGTTGTCTTTACCGTAAAATAGAAATGCCACCAAGTACCCTGAAGGGGACTTGGAAGGATCCACAACCTCAGGGTGAAGTACCCTGCACTTTACATTCAGGACTCAATACATAGTAGGAACACAGTAAAAGGTCACAATTATCATTCAGAAAACCAGTGGGTGCATTTTCATTCTCACCCATAGAAGACTTTTTCACTGCTGCTGAGAGTACAGCAGCCCAGGCATCTTATCAGCATAGAAGTGCCGACGCTCAGGCCCTGCCCCAGACCCGCTGAATGAGAATCAGCATTTTAACAAGATCCCCAGCGGTGCATGTGCACGGTGAGTTTTGAGAAGCTGTGTTGAAGGACTTGTTAAGATGTGGGGTCTTCCTCCCCACAGCAATGGGAAGCAAATGAAAAACTGTCAGCAGATTATAAGTGGGAGGGAATCGGACACAGCAGAATTGACAATTACTCTTCCGGATGTAGGAGGGGAATTGGGCAAGACGAAGGGGACTGCAGAGTAGGTTTGGAGAAACTCATTGAGTGAATGAGTAAATAAATGAATGAATGAAGCTCAAAAGGGATCCCCAGAAGATGAAGAGTTCCCCTAGAGGGATATCACAGCATGGACCAGTGGTTCTCAGACTGTGGTCCCCTGAGCATCAGCATAAGAGGGAACATGTCAGAATGCAAATTCCCAGGCCCTGCCCCACAGCTAAATCGGAAGCTCTGGGGACGGGCCCAGGGATCGCCCTGCAAGTGATTGAAATGTACATGAGAGTTGGAGATTAGCCTTTCAACTGCAGAAGGGCGGGGGAAGAGAAGAGGCGGGACCATATGGGGAACTCACAGCCTCCACTGGACCAGCTCCCACCTGTACACGATGGGCAGCACCCCCCATCTCCAGAGGGAATCGGGTGGGAACAAGCAGCTTCACACGTCACCTTTTCACAGGTCACCTCCCCATCCTGGAAGCAGAAGCGGGACTTCCAGTCACCACAAGGCCCCAGACACCAGGTCGGGGCAGCCCCAAGGACCCCCTCACACCCACCTCGCACCAGCACTGGGAGCACCCCGGCTCTGTCCAGCGGCTCCCCAACTCATACATGGCTCCCAGGTGCCAGCAGGCAGAGGGCCCTGGTGCAGGCCATGGGGCCGTGGGGCCCCTGGGCAAGGAAGGCGTCACCACTGCCTTTTCCAGGAATTGTGAGGGAGGTCTGAGAGTCCCCAGCAGGGGGGCACTAGGCACCGGGGTGGCCATGGCCATCGGGGTGGACAGCAGTCTCATCGGGGCAGATGGGGAAGGTGTGGGTAGTGCAGGGGTGGGCAAGGGCAGGTGGGTTGTCCTGACTCTGGCTGGGGGCCCTGGAGCCCCAGAAGGAGGGCTGTGTCCTGGGGAGAAGGCAGACCGGCCCGCCTCTGGAAGCAGCAGTAGCATCTTAGGGGGGTGCTGCAGGGGCTGCAGGATGGCGGAAGGGGCCAGCACGGCTTTCGGGAAAGCTGAAAGGGAAGCACAGGGGTGTCTTGAGGGAGGTGGCAAGGGAAGGAGGCAAGACCGGGGACCTGGGCTCAACTCCGACACTAGTCTCTAAATGTCTCGGGGCCAGTTTTCTCATCAACAGAATAGGTCTAATACCACCAGTTTGACCCTAAACCGCTGGGATGTGGAGACGATCACACAAGATTGATGGAAAAGTACCAAATGAGCAGGCCAAGGTTATAGGTTGGGAGTGTGTCCCCTGCCTCCCCCCCAGGTGTGCCTTCCCAGGAGGGGATGCTGACATGCACCCGTGAGAGAACTTGCCACGGCCTAAAAAGAGCACCTTCAGCATTTATAAGACATGTAATGACACATGTGCTTCCAGGCACGCTGGTCAAGTATGGCAGAGTGGTCCGACACCACTGTACGAAGCATCTGTACCTGGGAGCCCAGGTTACTGGGACCCCTTGCCATATACTCCTCAGTTTTTCTTTCTTTTTACCATTTAGGGAAAACACAGAAGGGCTAGGGGAACAAGGTGGAACGGGAGGAAGGATGGATAATGCAGCAGAAGGAGGAAGCAGGAAAGAAAGTGAAGCTTTGGAAAGATGAATAAAAAACAGAGCGAGTGAAGGAAGACGGTCAGGCTCCTGGAGGGCGGGGCCGGGACCCGGGGGGCGGGGCTAGACGCTCACCTTCACAGGACACTCTGTCAGCTTGCAGCCTGAAGCCAGGCCGGCAGGTGCACAGGAAGCTGCCCACAGTGTTATGACAGGAATGGTGACAGACTCGCCTCTCCAGCGGCCTCCGACATTCGTTTACATCTGCAGGAGAGCCTTGCTGCCGACAGCTGCCATGTCGGGGCCACCGAGCCTTTCTTCCATCATCCCTCAGCCCAAAAGGCTAGGGGAGTCTCCCTGTCATGTTCTTACAGGGTCCATCCCTGCCCCAGAGTGTGGGATGCAACTCAGACGTCTGGGAGTGGGGCTGAAATCTGTTAGTCCCCTTGGAAGGTTCACGCTTCCAGTAGGTATTTAATGGATGCACTAGTGACTGACCCTCCAGCCACTGCTGCAATGAGTTAGTGCTGGCTGGAGGGGATGAGCCCTGCTGAGATGCTCATCTCCAAACCTTCCACCATCCCACGTGCTGGGTGTCGGGTTGTGTGGCCCCTTCTAAAAAGAGAGTCTCAAAAGTCTGCACTGCTCAGGGTAGGCTTCAGGACAAATGCCAAACTCTGCTAGAACAAGGTCTTTTTTCAGGCCCATGGGACCCCACCTTCAACCCATGAGCCAAGCTCAAGCCAAACACGGCAATCCCTTTCTGGGAATTTCTGCTAATGGGCTGAGAAAACAGGGGTCTCCTTCTACACCAGAGGAACCAAGACATAACATGCTTTGTTACCAAGGGGAGCAAAGGCAGCCAAGAAAATGGGTGAGCAGAGAGGAATCCCTGGGGTGTATCTGGGAGAGGGGTGAAGGAGAAACATAACAGGATGACAATGGCATGTGGCCAGGAAACGTCCAAGACAGGGTCTTCCATGAGGAGCTGTGCCAACCCCAGCGAAAGGCAGGTTCTGAGCAAAGGCTCAAGCGTTTACAGGCTCCAGGGACCAGGAGGTCCAGGCTGTTGCCCTTTCCCTGTCCCTGGGCTCACCCTGTCCATCTTCCTGACTGGCAGCCCAAGTGTGAAGACAATAGGGTCCTCCTGACCTTACCTACACAGGAGTGTCGGTTGCCATGGAGATGGAAGCCAGTTCTACAGGAACACCTGTAGCTGCCAATGCTGTTTTTACATCTTTGCTGACAGGGGGTCCCGAGGCATTCGTCAGTGTCTAGAAGGGAACAGGACAAGGCTGGAGCTCTTTTCCATGGAGTTTTGGGGCTATATGGTCCCCTCTTATCTCTCATCACCAACTCTTGCCCCACTCGTGGCATGGGGGACCACCTTAACGCTCACTGCCCACATTCAGTGTATTGCTGCCCACTTCTCTCCACACACACCCCCCCCACTGCCATACCCAAGCCCGGGTCACCTCTGTCTCTAGTCTGGAGAAGAGCCACAGCCTCATGCGTCTCCATGCCTCTACCTGTGCTCCTCCCAAGCCATCCTCTACACAGCCTCCAGGGCGTCCTGACCAAAGGGCACCTCTGATCCGGCCACTGCCTTTCCCGCCTCCTTCCCTGCCCTTCATCTTCACCCTGGCTTAAATCCTTGCCATCTCCCAAGTGCACCATGCTCCTGTGGGCCTCCCCCTTTGCCCGTGTTCTCTTGTCTGCTTGGATTGCCTTTCCATCTTGTCTGGCTGTAAAACTCGTACTCAAACCTCAAAACTCAGCTTCTTATATAGCACCTCCTCTGTCAAAGCTTCCCCATGTGGGCATTTGGTATTGTGAAAAACTGGAAACAATCTACATGTTCATCAGTAAGAGAAGAATTAGTAGAAACTATGGAATGTTTGCACTGCAGAGTAGCAGGCAGCAGTTAAAAGGAACAACGCAGATCTGTTGACCCTGATGTGGAAAGATCTTCAAGACAGATTGCCGAGGGGGGAAAAAGCAAGTAGAGGAATGACTGGGGTCAAACTCCTGCTCTAACACGATCTTAGGCAAGTTATTTAATTTCTTTAAGCCTCAGTGTTCCTATTGGGAAAATGGAAATGAACAGTACCAACTTCATAGGATAATTTTGAGGATGAAATGAGGAAATGCTTCTATAGTGCTTAGCACAATGCCCAGACACAATAATTCAGGACTGTGAACTGCTCATCTCTTATCATCTCTGTGAGCGTGAGTGTGTGTGTGTGTGTGTGTGTGTGTGTGTGTGTGTGTGTGTGTGCATGTATTGGGGAGAGGCAGGCAGGGCTCTCAGCAGATTGATAACCAGGTGCTAGGAATGAATTTTCCCAGCCCCCAAGTCATATGTTGAAGCCCTAATTCCAATGTGATGGTGTTAGGCGGTGGGCCTTGGGAGGTAATGAGGTTTAAATGAGTTCTGAATAGTGGGGCCCTCCTGAGGGGATGAGTGCCCTTAGAAGAGGGCACCAGAGCTCGCTCTCTGTCACAGGAGGACACAGCTAGAAAGCAGCCATCTCTGCAAGCCAGGAAGAGGACCCTCACCAGGAACTGAATGGAAGGGCACCTTGATCTTGGACTTCCAGCCGCCAGGACTGAGGATGCATTTCTGTTGTTTAAGCCTCCAGTCTGTGGTATTTTGTTACAGTGGCCTGAGCTGACTATGACACCAGGGTTATTCTCTAGGGACAGCAGAGCACAGGCGTGGCAGAGGCGGCCTGGAGCTAGCGACTTTTACAACTTTTTTTTTTTTTACAATGTATGAAAATTTCAAACATGCAGAGGACGATCTTGCGTTATCAAGGAGGAGCTTTTGCCTTAGCCACCTTTGTTTAAGAGAGAGAGTTTCCTTACCTAACTTCTGTAAATAAAAGTCATCTTAAAAGATTGAGTAATTATTTTTAAAGATCTCTCTCATCCTGCTCACTTAGGAGGGAGGTTCCTCCTCTCATCTGGGCCCCCAACAGCACTCATCCGTAATCCCAACCCTGTTGTTCTGCTCCCCACCAGACTGGGGCATAGGAACAAATGAGCACTGTCACCCCCCAACACCTCCCCCCCACACACACACACACACACACACACACACACACACACACACAGCCGTGCTCATAGCCCCGTCCCTCTTGGCCTCCCTTATCAGCCCTCCCTCAAGGCAGTGGCCTGCCTCCTCCCTCTGTTTGTCTGCTCCACCCTGCCCCTGGCTCTCCCTGGGGTCTCTCCTTCACCTTCATCCCTCCACCCTGCAGTAATGGCAGCAGCTGTTTCTAGGGAGCCCTGGTTCAGAGCCAGGGCCCTAGAGTTAGACCTGCTGGGATTCAAGCCGACTTCATCTCTTACTAGCAGAACAACCTTGGGCGAGCCTCAGTTTCCCCCTTGGTAAAGTGGGGATGATAACAGTATCTCCCTCAGAAGACCATGGTGAGTGTGAAATAAACCATCGCAGGTGGAGCACATGTTGGGCCTGGCAGGGCCATGAGGTCAAAATCAGAGCCCAGCAGGGGCGGTGACGGCACTGGCATCACCATCACCCCTCCCTGAGCCGCTCACCTTGGCAGCTGTGGCGGTCAGCAGACAGCTGCATGCCCGGCCCACACTCGCACACAAACCCGCCTTCCGTGTTCACACAGTGGCCCTCGCAAGAGGAGCTTAAACATTCGTCAATGTCTGGGAAGAGAGAAAACACCATTGCACAGCCCGCAAAGAATGTCGTTGGGGTGGCCAGGAGAAAATCTACCTCACGTGGTGGACCCTGTGCCCACACCAGCCTGCCCTCAGCAGGGTGGAGCCCCCACCTCCACCCCCATGCCAGAAAGAAAGACCAGGCACCAGGAAAGTCATCCTGCTACAAGGGAAGCCCCAGGGAGAAGAGGCCATGGGATCAGGCCCCTCCTCTTGGACCTGCGCAGACCAGATGACAGAGAGGATGGCTGAGACAGAACTGTCTCCGATGGCCCCACCTGCGGGGCGTCCACAGTAGGGTAGAGAGTAGGCAGGAAGGCTGATTAGACCCCCTGAAATGTTTATTGAGCACCGCCTGTGTGCAGCAGGCCTGGAGGAGAGCCACTGAGGACACAAATGTGACTGAGACACAGCGCTGGCTCTCCAGATGGTTCCAGTCTGGTAATGTAGGAGCCACGACACACACCCACGAGAGACCACACGTGGCCGGGTAATATATGCCCCAGCAGGGAACACCCAGCCACAGCAGGAGTGTGCTGGAGGAGAGATGGGCTGAGAGGACCAGGAGGAGGGGGCCATAAGTGGAGAGAGTCTGGGGGCCTTGGGAAGTACAGGAAACACCTGGGGCCCAGTCTGGCTGAAGCTTGGGTTCCTGTCGGGAAGTGGGAGGCAGGGCTGGAGAGCTGGCTTAAGGCTCAACTGAGAGGAGCACCAAGGAATCTCCAAAGCTTCTTCCCAGGATGGGGTGACTGGATCCAAGTAGTGCTTTAGGGGCAGTTCAGGCCTGAGGAGTCAGGGGGGCTGGGAGAGAGACAACCCCACCCCTGGTCTGTGGCATTTTTTTCCTCATCTAAGAATCATGGTGGCTCTGAAAGACCTACAAGACCAGCTCTGCCTACTGCAGTCTGCACCTGAGTCTCCCACCTCCTGGCCCCCATGCCTCTGGACACCTCCGTTCTCCTTACTCCTGTTCCCATCAGCAGGCCCTTCCGGACCACGCCCACCACCTCTAAGACGGCCACCCTGACTAACCCCATTCCACTGGGATCGCTCGGGGCTGTGGCCAGTGCCCCCTGCCCTGCGCTTGCTTTGACATTGTCCTCTGGCTTTTCCTTGGTCCAGTTTTCCTCTGCAGCAAGAAGTGCAAGAAGTACTCTCCATGAAAGACACTCAAGGGAGGACGAACGGCTTCAGCGGGCCCCCAGCGCCAAAACCCCTTTCGTGAGACGCTTCGACCCAACAGTTCTCCTTCTGGGAATCATCAGAGATGCCGACAAGGAGCCCTTTATTGCAGCATTATTTATAGTGGTGAACACTGCAGACCCGCTAAATGAGGGGGAACAGAGAACTAGGTACTTGAATTACAGTAGCCACATATGCAGCTGTTAAAAATTATGTTGTAAGGACTAGTTCGTGCTCACAATATAAAGTTTAGTGAGAAAAGTAGTGAGTAAAAACTATAGATGAGATGTGATCCCAATTTCATTAAAACATTATAAAGATATGCATGCGTAACACACATTTACACACAGGTACACACTCAAACACAGACACACCCAAGGAAAACGGCAGAAAAAGTAACTTCGTTTTTGTAACAAATACTCTGGGTAGGACTTTCCAGGACATGTTTGGGTTTTCTTCACCCCTCTACCCTTCTTTTACTTTCCAAATCTTCTAAAATGAGTTATCTTTTGCTTTTGTATTCTGGGGAAGAAATATGTTTTACAACATCAAACCTCAAAAAGAGGCTTTACACCTCTCCGGAAAGATATCCAAGAAACCGGTCACAGTGGCTGCCTCTGGGCAAGGTAACAGAATGTTGCTGGCCGGAGCTTTTTAAAATCACGAACAAATAATACTTTTACAAAATAATTCTCGGGTTTCGCTTTCCTCATCTTTCACATGTCACTTTCCCAAGTGTCACTTTCTCCACGGCCAACCCCACCGCCAGTCCCAACCTTGTACTTCACCAGTTATGGTCCCATCAAACGGGACTGTTATGTCTAGCCCCCCTTCCCACTCCCAGCACAGTTCCTGGCCCATAAGAGGTGCTCTATAAATATTTGTGAAACAGCAGCAGAGTATTCCTTTGGTTTGCATACCTCCCTGCCCACTCTCAAACTGCAGAGCTCACCCTGACTCAGCTCTGCTATTGCATCATCTTTCTGAAGGCCATCTTGGCGGGACAGGAAAGGGTAGAATACCCACCCACCCTCCCCCAGTGCTCTCAGGTCTCTCACCTGTACACCTGATGCCGACAGCTGTCTCCGTCATTGAGAAGCCCACGGGGCACACTCGGGCCACCTCCTGACAGCCACCATGGTTACAGGTAAGGTCACAGCCGTACTCCCCGCAGGGTCCGTGGGCTTCTGAAACAGGCAGCGCCTACGTAAGCATGCACCATGCTGAGGTCTTGGCCACCCCCACCTCACCAGGGCTCCTCCTGAGTTCTGTGAGGAAAGTGCCTCTGGAGGCAGACAGGCCTGAGTTTAAATCCAGCTCCGCCACTTCCTAGCCATGTCACCCTGGGTGAGCCACTAACTTCTGTGCCTCAGTTTCCTCATCTATAAAATGGGGATGAGAATGTCTGCTTAACAGGGTTGTTTGAAGGTGATATGCTAGGACACAAGTGCCTGGTGTCTGACACATAATCTCGGTGTTAACAGGGTTCTTCTCATCAGCCATGGCCCACCCGTTACCTGGGCAGGTGGCCCCTTGTTCTCCATCCTGGCAGGAACAGACGTTGGGAGCGATGCAGATGCCACTCCCACAGCCAAAGGAGCAGAGGGCTAAGGGAAGAAATGCAGGTGAGGGAGTGGGGGCTGGAGCCCCCCAATCTGCCCCTCAGGCCAGCCCAGGGAATGAGTGCCCTGCCAGGGAGGATGTTTGGGGCACAGGGACAGGCACTTACGAAGGGTGCAGTGCCCACTGCCCATGGAGGGTGCCCAGCCAGGGCAGCAGCCACTCCCGAACCCTGAGAGGCAGACGTGGGGGCCCAGCCGGCGTCTGCAAGAGAGGAGAGAGCACCTTCCACGTTCTGATTGGTCTACAGAGCAGTGAAAGCCTCCCAGCCAGTCAGGAAGTCAGTCAACAAACAGTTCTCAAGACCCTCTGGAGGAGCCATGGGAAGTTTCCAAAGAAAAATGACCCTGACAGCCTCTCCTGAAGACAGGACAAAGACAGAGGCACCGGTGTCCTACAGATACCTGCCACAGGAACACAGAGCAAACTGGCCAGGAAAACAGGGCCTCAGAGGGGCCCTCAGCATGGAGGAGGAAAGACCGCAATGGATGAGGGGCCCCCAGGATGGCTGCCTCTGGGCCTTTCCACTTGCAGTTCCCTCTCTCAAGAAGGTTCTTCCTCAGACACTCATCCAGCTCATTCCATTCCCTCCTTTACCCAGGTCTCTCTGCACATGTCAGCATCTCAAAGAGAGGCCCTTCTTGTCCCCCCTTCCCTTGCTTTATTCTTCTTAACACCATTCACTTCCTAGGACATTAAATTACTTATTAATCTGTTGGTTTGTTCACTATCTGTCTCCCCTACTATTCCCTGAACGCAAGGGCTTCATCTTTTTTGTTCACCTCTGCACCAAGAGCAGTGCCTAACACATAGTAGGTGCTCGGTATGGCTGTTGAGGGGAAGGTGGAGAAGGGAAGCCAGCAGAAAAGAGGAAGGAGGGGACATCTCTGGGGTAGGGGGTGGGGACGCCAGTGAGCTGCCTAAAGCAGTGAAGGAGAACCCAGTGTGCCGGATGCTGGCTGAGGCACCCCAGTACAACCATGAGCAAGCCACTTCCACACCTTCAGGGAGGCTGGGCAGACAAGGAGCCAGGCAATAACAATGCACTGTGACGAGTGCCACAACGGGACTGGCTATGGAGCTCTGAGGAGGGTCAGGGGAGGTCTCCTGATAGGACAGCATCTAGGCTGAGGCAGGGGCGAGGAGTAGGGGCAGGCGGCGAGAGTGCAGGAGGGGAGAGGGTGTTCCAGGCAGAGGGAAGCACAGGGCACAGGCCTGCAGGGGGCCGGAGACAATGACTGGAAGTCGTCCTGTGATGGGCTGCGCAGAGGGTGATGCGGTCCAGCCTGGTTTCAACTGGGAATTCTCGTGCAACAGAACAGGGCAAGAAACCCCTCCCCAGCGGTGCTGCTCCGCGGGGAGGGGTGATGGGAATGTTCTCCCCGTCAGGCAGTCCTGGCACCCACCATGTGCCAGGCTCAGCAGCAGGGCTGGGGACATGGATGGGCAAGACAGACCCACCCCGCTCTTGGGGGTAATACTCCTGCCAAATGTGACAAGTAGTGTGAAAAGGGGAGCTGGGGCACATGGCAGTACAGAAACATCTGCAAAGCATGGCCCTGGAGCCCCCAGAGGGCCTATTTGCTCTCTGAAGTCATGAAAGAAAAAGAGGGGGCCCTGGGTGGGGGGGACTGTCGGTGAAGTCTCACCCAGGGCCCTTGCTGGGGCCAATGTGGCAGCAGCCTAGGAAGCAGCCGGCAGCTCCAGCTCCTCAGACGGGGGTCTGGAAGGGACAGGAGTGCCACCAACGCGGCTGATGTGAAGATGCCCTGCAGGCTGGCGGGCAGGGACCGAGCGCCCCAGGGGGTCTCCTAGGTCCGGTCAAGACGGGGAGGCAGGTGGCAGGAAAACTCTGAAACTCCGCGGAGCCTGCGGATCTGAGCAGGAACTGGCGGAGGTGGCGGAACACACGTGCGCGCTGCGAGCCTGGCGGGGCCGCCCCCTGAGCGCCCCTCGAGGCAGTGGCCGCGGGCCAGGCCGCCCACTGACACCGTGTTCCATCGCTTGGAGCATCACGCACACACGCGCTCAGCGGCTGCTGCCGGCCTCCACCAGGAGACCCGAAAGGAGGGTGGCATCCATTGGGAAAGAGCAAAGGGACAAACACCCACCCCCGCGCGCGGGCACACACAGGCGGAAACCGAAACATAACCTGGAGAGACCCCGGCAATTCCAAGGTCCACGACGTGCGCGCAGCCTAAACACATGGAAAGCCTACCCCCAGCCCAGCCCCGAAGTGGCCGGCGCCACGGGGGGAGGCAGGCCCTGCCAAGGCAGAGCCACTGGCACGTTCTCAAACGAAGCCAGCCAGTCTGGAGACCAGGTGGCACTTCCCTCGCTCCCTTCGCCCCGAGTCCGCGCTCCAGGGCAGACTCAGATGGGCTTACCCAGAGCCTGGATCTCCGTGCCCCCAGGTCTCAGCCAGAACAGCCCCGGACAGAGGCGCAGAACAGGCACCCGCCCAGAGGCACAAGCTGCTGTCTCTTTGTCCAACCCCCATGGGCTGCGCCCGCGCATGGACAGAGCCCCAGAGTGGAGCCCCAATCCACCGCTGCCGACGGCTCCGGGCGCTGCTCCGCGCCTCCCCGCTCCACGCGGGGAGCGCCCCGGCGGTGGGGCAGGGGAGTGGCGCGTGGCGCTTACCTCTCGGTCGTGAAGTGCCCTGGCGGCTTCCTCCCGGTGTAGGTGCGGGCGGGGACCCCCAGCAGCAGGAGCGCAACGCAAGCGGCCCTGAGGAGCAGTCCGGCCCACATGACCGGCGGTGGTGCGTCCCCCCCGGCTCCGCTGGGCTCCCACTCGGCGCACGGAGGAGGGGGCTGCCGGCCCTCGCCCCTCCTCCTGGCGCCACGGGGAACAAACCAGCGAGCCCCGAGCTGGCACGCGGAGCAGAGCAGGGGGGCTGGAGACGCCGAGAGGAGGGGCAGGGGGCCGCAGGGGGCCGCGGGGCACAGCTGGGGGGTGGTCTCTGGCACCTCTGAGCGAAACACAAAAGGCAGCGCCGCCCGCCGCTGGTAGCCTCTTGGGGAAGCACTGAGCCCCGGGCGGGGTCAAAGATCGGGGACCCCTGGGGGCGGGGCTTCGCTCTCGGCCCACACCCCTTGCCGGGGTTTGGGAGTCGGCTCCCGGAGAAGTGCTGTGGGCGTCAGACTGAGGCCCCGGGACGAAAGAGACTTCGGGAACAAGGCTGGCGCTGGAGGCGGCGCGTCCCAGGCATCGCGGGTCTCAGTGGAGCCTGAGACGCCTGTGTCATCAGAAGGTGGGAAAAATGGAAATCAAGTCGTGCCGCGGACTCGGGGTCCTCATTGCTGGGCAGTTCTAGGCCGGCCCCCAACCTGCCAGCAGGTCTGCACCCTAATCCTGGGTGTGGGGGTCAGTGACCCGCCTGCCCCCTGGTCAGGAGTTACTAGGTGGCCTTGAACCCACAGGCTCCTCTTTGCCCCCTCCTGCAGCTGCCCCAGGCCAGTCATGGAGTGGTAGGCAGGGAAGTGGTGAGCAGGTGGTGGTCAGGCTCACCCAGCAGGGAGGAAGCTGCATAGGTGACCGGAAAGCTGAAATCCTCCCATCAACTTTGTGCAGGAGTCTCACAGCCACCCGCACCCTAAAGTCTGCTCAAACACTTCCAGGGATAAGGAACTCACTGCCTGTCAAAAAGGAGACCAATCCAGTTTTGAATCACTCCATTTGTTAGAAGTGTTTTTACTTCCCACCTAAATAACCCTGGTCCTTTGGTCCTGCCTCACAGTTGCCTTCCCACTGGCTAGCTCAGCCTGTCACTGGGGTCCTTACCATTGGTGGCCACAAATGAACAGTGTGCCAACAGTGGCCTGGACTCGGGCCTCCTTCCTTCCAGATATGATACTTTTATGAACACAGCCTAATATTACTTGGCTTTTGGGGCAACCCCATGATGCTGTTAGTTCATAACAGTTTACAGTAAAGGAAAATCTCAGGTGTTTTTTGTTGTCGTGTTTTTGTTGCTGCCTGTTAAACACAAGCTGCCAAGCCCATCTCCCTACCTGAACCTGTGTGGTTGAGTTTCTGCCGATGATCAGTTTTAGGCCTGTTACCTCACCTGGTTAGTTTTGATCCATTTGCTAAGCGCATCAACAAATTCTCAGCAAGTAGGCTGCCCAAGTATTCTTGTATCCTAAGATGAATGCAGCTTCCATATTTATGTCCGAGTCCCAAGGACCCTCAGACTCCTCCACCTTTCCCTTCTGCCTCAACCCAAGGTGCTTTCCCCCCTCCCCCCGCCCCACTCACAGTGCATGCCTCCGTTACTCCATTGTCCACATGCTCACACATCTAGCCCAAAATTATTCAAGAACAGGGATTAAATGTAAATAAAGCCCTTCCTTCACTTGGGCCCCCAAAATCTATCGCACCACTGCCCTTAGCATTTCTACCTAGAGTACCACTCAATGTCAAATAGGTGTCCCACAAACTCATGTGCACAGGACAAGCTTCCTTTTACACACCTGTCTCACCTTGTGCCAGCCCCTCCCACACTCCAGCACACTTCTGAGCTCTACCGCTTCATGGAGCCCCGCCCCCCAACACAGCCGTGAACCTGGCAGGGTCTGCCTGCTCCATATTGGTCAGGGAACAGCTGAGAGGCAACTTGGTGCTTAAAGAAAATCCTCATCCGCCCTCAGGAGGAGCTCAGGGTATTTAAGAGTCATAAATTCCTACTGGCGGATTTCGAAAGAAAGAACTTTGTAAACAGCCCCTGACGTTTCCCATTTCTTTGACCTTACGGCATTCATCTTGATCAACAGTTTACTTCCTTAGTTTGCTTTTTGCTATTTTCTTTATCTTGTCCTTTGGTTTGTTTGACCTCAGGCTCACAGTTTGGACCGAGAATCTCTGGCTATCGGTCATCTTCAAGGACTAGTTTGGGCATATCCCTTAGTGACAGTTCCTCAGTTTCCTCCCCGCTTCTGTGGCGTGTGGCTTGAGTAACAAAAGGGACCCTCTACAGAGGGCGGAGGATCCAAGTTGTTGGCTGCAGAGAGAAGGCCTCTGGCTTGTGACCCTTCCAAACGGTCATGTGATGAGTCAGAGTTTCGATTCTTCTCCCAAAGGTCTCTTCCTGCAGAGGCCTGGAGTGAGGCTAGCTCATCAGCGCCCACATGGAAAAGGAGTCATTCCAGCTGGCTGTAGCAAAGCCCCACAGGCAACCCTTCACCCCTGGAGTGGCGATTAATAGTTTTTGAGGGGGGATGTGGGAGTGTGGCAGCCGAATGTCAGTTTCCAAAAGATTGCTGGAATTCGGTAGTGAATGAATATATCCAAGATCACAGGACACAAAAACTGAAAGGAGTCCACGGCTTCCAAAGTCAAGACTGAAGCCATTGGTCCAGAACCTTCTACTCAATGTAGCAGGCCTCCAGGGCTGCAGGGCAGATGGCTGAAAAGCACCAGAATACATCCCACTACAGTCCATCTTTCTGACCATGGCACCTTGTAGTCCATCCTCCCTTCTAAGATTAAATTTTTCAAATAATCACAGTCCGGGGACTGTTGCTCGCCTGCCTCGTTCCAGCTGGTATCTGGCATGGGGGCAGGCCTTTTCAATTCAAACCATGACCTGAAGAATTCAAATCACAGTGTTGAGTTTCAAGTTAAATTGTGGTTTTTGAGAGATGCTGATTATTTTTTCCCTTAAGACCCTTAACCTCCACCCTCAGAAATCCCTGGAGAGTAAGGGGAAAAAGAGCCGTAATGAAACACAATGCCTCCAGGGAAGGAAACAATCCAGAGGACCCCCAAAGCAGAGATGCTTCATTGCCCTTTTCCTTTCAAGCTAGAATCTCTCAAAACCACTGTTTGAACTTGAAACCACAACTTTCCTGACACTGTATCAAAGGCTGGTCTTAAAGGAGCCAGCCAATATGCCCGGGATCTACCCGACTCCACCGTTGGGACAGAGCAGCCTTTATTCCCACTGGGTCACTGGTGGAAATGTGGGCCCAGACACTCTGACCCACTGAGCTGAAAGAAGACAGGCTCTGTTTGCTGCACAGAAAGGTGAACCCAAATGTGCTCTACTCTTGTATTTTCAAACCAAAGGCATCAAAAGTTTACTGGAATAAAACCAGAGGAAACAAAACCAGAATCTGAAGGGCACATGACAACAGGAAGCAGGGCGGTGCACCAGGAGCTACCTGCGAGGCCAAGGAGCAGTGCCTGGGGGCTGGTTGGCGGGAGGGTGCATTTGACGTCAGGAAAGGCAGCCCGAGCAACCCCCAGGCCTGGCAGCTTACTACCAGAGGTCACGGGAATCAAACGGTGACTACAGTCAAGGGCGACCAAAGGCCACGGCATTTCAAAAACCCGACACCCATCACCCTTGGGATCCTACCAAAAAACGATCACGCAGCTAAGGAGAGGTACAGACGTCATCTCACTACTTGACAGGACTTGTTGCAGCAGCAAGGACAAGTGACTGCCATACAAGAGGGAGATGAGTTTGCAGGAAATTGGGCAAAGTATGACCAGGATGCTGGAGCGCCGGGCAGCGGGAAGAAAAGCAGAAACAAATGCATCTTTCTTCTTAGATTCTACTTTATTTGGTAAAACTCGGAAACTAACCACCAATTCACGCCCATCCACCTCCTTCTCTCTGAAGCAGACAGTTCCCCAGAGACAAAAAGGCTGTGGCTTGGCAATCATCCGCCATCTCCAGGTTTTACACTCAGGCAGCCTGTGGCCTGGTGGTCAGGCCTCCAGACCCAAAGCTCTCAGAGGCAACAGAAGGAAAAGGAAGCCCTCACTTCAAAGACAATGAACCCTTCCCGCCCCTCTTCCCTTCTACCCACAACCTCCCCACACCCCCAACCTAAATAAAAAGATAGTAGAGGACAGCGCATGAGTGTGAGACACACACACAGAGCTTCCTTTCAGCCAAAGAGCTGCAAAATCCCTCCCTGGAAGGAGGACCATGGGCAGCACCAATCAAGGCTTGGCGGCCCAAGGTGATGGCTGGAATCATGTGAGACTGGTAAAAATCCAGGGAGAGAATATTTCACCTTCAGCCCATTCCCAGGTCGCTAGTGAACTGGTTTTAGCTCTAAGAAATCCCCATTGCACAGGTGGCTGTGACTTCCGGGGCAGCTGGCTTGGGGAAAGGCTTCCCACGGCCCAAGAAGACAGTGGCGGGGGAGGGGAGGCGGGCGGCAACGCCTTCGGGGAGGGCCTGGGAGGGGGGACCCCTGCCCTTGGCTAGTGGATCCGCGTCAGCTCCTCGAAGACACTGGCGGGGGGAGGGGAGGGGCGGCCCCGCCTTCGGGAGGGCCTGGGAGGGGGCCCCGCCCTCGGCTAGTGGATCCGCGTCAGCTCCTCCACCACCTTGATCAGGTCGTCCGCGGTGGCCTCTCGCTTCATTCCGCTGCCGTCGTCATACTGCAAGAAAGGGAGGGGCTGAGGGCCAAGAGGGTGCTCGCCCTCCCTTGGGGAAAGGGGTGCCCACAGCGAGGGGGGCCCCCAGCTCCACCACTGCCCTGGCGGGGAGGACGTCTCCGTCAGAAACCCGCGCCGCCCCGTGGGGGTACAGGTCAGCAAGGTCTACTGAAGGCAAAGCTGGCTCAGAGGCTGCCACCTGGCGTGCATGTCCCTCTCCTCCAGGATGTTATTCAGAGGTACCATCTCCAGTGAGCAGCACCCCAAACTCCAGCACTGTGGAAATTTCTCTTCCCTGTGGGCTCCTGACCCTGCCTCCCTCCTGTGGGACTGCCAGGGATCCCAGACATGCCCCAATGTGCCCTCGTTGCTAAAGTACAGGGGTCACATGGGTAAAGCTGCTAGTCCAGTGCCAGGCGCCTGGTGGGTACCCACGAGCCTCGGCTACATCTCCTCGCCCTCATACGCCATCTTCCCAGGCGGCAGGAGAAACTGAAAGGGGCCGCTGGCCTCTGGGAAGAGAGGAGGGCAGGCGCCAGAGCTCTGACAGGCTCCTGGCGTGTAACTGGCCCAGGGCTGAACACCACACAGCTCACCTGTA